CCCCCCGGCTGCCGCCCCAACATCATTTGCTTCAAAGCCAAGGGTAAAGAGGCACGATCTGATTTATCAGTTTCTAGGGACCGCTTCCTGGAAGGAAGGAAGGACGACCGCGCCCCAGGGTACCCCACATCAGCCCGTGATCCAGACTGGGCCAGTAGCCATTTCGGGGGCGCCCTCTGGTCATGGAGCTCTCTAACGGGTCTGCGGGCCCCAGAGGGTCCTGGGCCCGAGCCCAGGGTAGGGGCAGGAGCGAGAGTTCCAGCTCGCCCCGAGTGTCGGGCGGGAACCGCTCAGTGCTTGCCAAGGTCCGGCGAGGGTTGTGTCAGCGGCGGCGCTGGGGCACGCAAGCCCCGTGCTGGCGGCTGCGGGCGAAGCCGGCTTTGCAGACGCAGCGGAAAGAACCGCTTGTGTTCACGCAGCGCTCGCTCTTGCACAGCAGCCCGCGCTGGTTCAGCTCTCGGCACTCGTCGATGTCTGCAAGTGGGGATAACGGGTCTTCATGGGGCGCCGGAGCCGCAGTGCCCGGAGCCTGGAGTAATACGGCTGCCCCGCCCCGTCGCGGCCCCCGCCCCCGCTCACCGACGCATCGGGCGCGGGAGGAGTCGAGCTGGAAGCCGCCCGGACACTCGCATATGGCGCCGCCGGGCCGAGGCACGCAGCGGCCGCTCACGCAACGACACTCGTCCGAATCCTCCTCCGAGCTGTCCTCGTCTGCGCCGGGAGAATGCGGGCATCAACAGCGCCCCCAGCGGTTGGCACCGACACCACCGCTCCCTCGGGCCTACTCACCTCGCTGAACCTTCCCCAGCAGCAAAGGACTCGCGTCCCAGAAGGAATTGCTCTCGCTCTGCGACGTCGGGCACTGGGATCCTGGGCAGAGCGGGTGCGCTCAGCGGCGTCTGTGCACCTCTCCCCCACCTCGGACTCCTCTGTCCCACCCCTGCCCGTCGGCTCACCCGCGCTGCGCGGCGGGCACGGGCGACACTGAGCGCCCCATCCGCGGCCCTGGCGGCAGCAGCAATCGTCCAAGGTGAGGGCGGGCCCGGCCAGAGGACCGGAGCACATGCCGTCCTCCCCGCGCTGGCCCCAGCACACGTCGCGCCGCTCCGGAGCGCGATCTGCTGGAGAAGGCGGACGTCAGGGGAAGCCCGACCCTGGGACCGACCCCCTGCCCCGTCCCACCAGAGCCGGACCACGGCCAAGACGACCCTCGCGCTCACCCGCCGGGCTCTCGGGGAGCTGGCAGTCGCGGCCGGAGGGCCCGGGCGCCCAGGGCGGGCGGCACTCACAGCGGTAGGAGCCCGGCAGGTTGACACAGCGGCCAGGGCG